TCTCTGTGCCTTTGCTGGCAGCAGTGTCACCGCCAGTGTCCACTACCAAAAGCACCAACATTGGCACCAGCACTAGCAGCACCAACTCACACATACACACAGCTGACTCAATCATCATCATCAGCACAACTGCACTGGTTTCCGCTCTTGGTGATCTGCACTTGCTACTAGCTACAGCATATTGAAGATCAGCGATTTTGATTAGCGAGCAGACTAGAAGCACAACAAGAAGAAGAGAATCATCGAAGCACAGCAGTGCACAGCACAGTGGTCAGCTCCTTTGTTTTGATTCGCTTGGAAGAAGTGACTGAGGTTATCACCACCAAAAGTGCATCAATTATCGTCTCGTGGTGGTAGTGCTGTGAATACCAGCCAATAATGTCTTCACGCACTGCTTCTTCACCACCACCACCATCAACGCTAATTGACAGTCAGCTTGTGCTCTTCTAGATACTACCACCACCACCACAAGCAAAGCTTAACGCCTGTGCACAGTCTTTGGCGACACTTTCTTCTTCTTCTTCTCCTGCTCCACCAGCCACGCTCCTCTTTGCTGCTCGGTACGGTCAACTGTTACTACCTCTCTTTTGTTTTTTCCAGGAAAAAGCAGGCGACAATTGTAGCCTTATTCTGAAAGCCTTATCTCAATGTTTTGACTTTCATCTTTACAGATAGCGAGAGCATAATCGACGGATCAATGGCGAGCATCGAGACTGAGCAACAACAACATCAACATCATCACCACCACCACAGTCACCACAGTCATTCTACAAACACCACCACCAACACCACCTCGAGAGATGACCAGTCGTCGGAGTACGGCTCCAACGCCCGGGACACCATCATCTGCGGCCCGCACGTGGTGACCATACTGAAGTCGGAGACGGGCTTCGGCTTCAACGTCCGCGGCCAGGTCTCCGAAGGTGGCCCTCTGCGGAGCATCAACGGCGAGCTGTACGCCCCGCTGCAGCACGTCAGCGCCGTCCTCGAGAATGGCGCCGCCGAGAATGCGGGCATCCGCAAGGGCGACCGCATTTTGGAAGTGTAAGTCTGCTCTTTTTCAATTTCAATTTCAAACACAAATCACAGCCTGGATACAGTTGCCTAGGACACACTGGCCATTAGTAATGGCATTACGAGCTGTAGTCGGGGTAATTGACACTTTAATGCACTTCAGGGGTTCAGTGATCACTAAACAGCAACAACATCATCATTTGTACAAAACTCTTTTCACTCACTGTTTGTTTCATGTTTACCTCATCATCATTACTACAATTTAGAAACGGCACCAACGTCGAGGGCGCCACTCACAAGCAGGTGGTCGATCTAATCAAGTCAAGCGGCGACAAGCTCGTTCTCACCGTCATCTCCGTCACGCCTAGAGTAAGTGATTTGAACTAAGATTCGAATTTTACTAAAACCTTTTTTTCAATTCCAGGAAGCAGAAAAGCTCGAACCTTCCGACGACCTGAGCAGCTTCTCCTACTACGACTACGGCGAGAAGCGCTCTCTGCCCATCTCCATTCCCGACTACAGTTGGATTGAGAAGACCAACTCCCAGTCACATGGAGAACGCTACGTCGTCTTCAACGTGTACATGGCGGGGCGGCACCTCTGCTCCCGTCGCTACCGGGAGTTCTTTGCCTTGCACAGCAACCTCAAGCGGGAATTTCCCGATTTTGAGTTTCCCAAGCTGCCGGGGAAGTGGCCCTTTACGCTGTCCTACCAGCAGCTGGACAGTCGACGGCGCGGGCTGGAGCTCTACCTGGAGAAGGTCTGCGCAGTGAGGGTCATTGGCGAGAGTGACGTAGTGCAGGAGTTTCTCACCGACTTTGAGGACGAACATGTGAGTTTTTAGTGGGAGTGTTTTTTGTTGATAAGAGAACTTATTTACCTCCTTCTCTTTCTTCAGGGCACAAACCAAGCCCCAGTGGACCTGAAGCTGCTCCTGCCGGACCGCACCGCCCTCAGCGTGACCATTCGCAAAAATAGTACCACGGCGGAGGTGTACGAGGGCGAGGTGGTCCCTCGAATCGGCCTCAGCCGCGAAACCGCCGCCAACTTTGCCATCTTCGAGATTGTCGAGCCGGGCTTTGAGCGGAAGCTGCAGGCGAACGAGTACCCGCACAGTCTGTACATTGCAAACATTCAGAACACCAGCGCCGCTTCCACCTGTTTGCTGGTGAAGCGGTGGCTGTTCAGTGTGGCGCGGGAGGTGGCCCTCAGCACTGAGAACGACCTTCTCGCCACCTACTTCTTCTACCAGGCGATTGAGGATGTCAATAGTGGGCAGGTGAAGGCAGGCAATAAGCTGTATGAGCTGAAGGCGCTGCAGAATGTCGCCAAGAAGGTTGAGGTGAGATTTAGAGAAGAGGTTTTTGTTTATTTTACCATAACTGTTTTTACCTAATTAGTACCTCAAACTGGCGAGGAGCTTAGAGGGCTACGGCGAGCTGACCTTTCCCCACTGTCCGTCGGATGCGAGGAAGGAGGGACACGTCGTGGTGACGGTCGCCTATGGTTGCTTCAAACTGCAGGCCTGTAAGGAGGATGGCACGTTGGAGGTAAGTGGAAGAGTTCTTTTGGTTGTTTAGAACATCAAAAACTTACCTGATTTTTACCTTCCCCCTCTTTAGCCAAAGGTTCTTGAGTTTGACTGGCACTGCATCAACGAGTGGGAGGTGGACGATGAGGCGATGTGCTTTGTCTTTGTCTACACGCGCACTGATAAGAAGCCGAGGAGGGTGCGCATCTACACGCCATATGTAAGCACTGAGGTTTTGACCTCTTCTTCTTTGGTTTCACTCTTTATCAACTTATCATCATCAACATTTTTTCAATCTGCAGCACATCTTCCTCTACGAGTGCTTTGAGCGCGTCAAGGAGGAGAAGGGCGGCACTTTGCAGGTGCAAGGGGCGGCAGCGACCACGACCAGTCCATCAAGAGGAAATACCTCGGTGGAGTTTTAACTGATTGATGAGAAGGTGATGTGTGACTTATTGGAATTGTGTGAAATGAACTCACTGCACAATACCTCCTCTACCACAACCTTCACCTTGAACGAACCTTACGAACCACCACCACCACCCCAGCATCCATTCCTGTGACCACACTGAACCGTCAAACTCCTTTCTTTTTCCTTCCTTCTTTTTTCACTCCGACTAAGCAATATTTAAAGACTATTCAATCAACCCCTCCTCCTCCTTCCTTCCACCGCCACCACCATCACACACACAATCTGACTTGTGATTTTATATCTTTTTGTCTTTCTGTTTTCCTCCTCATCTCTGCCGCGCCTGATCTGACTCCAACACACACTGATAACTGGCGCCAAAGAAGGTGAACCACAAGATGCAACTCGTCTTTCCCCCCTTCAATCAAACCAAACTAGCTGAGAAAGCACACACACACACAACAAACAGCCAACACCTCATGAGGAAGGGAATCTCGACTTTTCCTTATTTCTTTTCTTGACCTTTTCTTTCCACTTTAGCTTCACAGACACACACAATTTTCACACTTTCACTCTTTCACTACCACTTTTTTTCCTTTCCGCTACATCTTGAGCTGTAGCGGTCTCTTCTCTTTTTTTCAAACCAAAAGCTCAAGAGTTTTTAGTTTTTGTGATTCCGAGCATCCGTGTGAAGGCGCGAAAAAGGCAATATTTATTATTCTTCGGAAGAAAGAATTATATGAAAGTAATAAAGTAAGCGCAATACGAGAATTCAAAATTGTGGATGGAGGCAGCTGTTTCATTTCACCGTCAACACACGGCAACATCCTTGAATATATTCCCTTTTACTGAGCGAATATTCCTTTTTTCCTTCTTTCACTGGTAACTAACACTGCCAACTTCGCATCGGTGCTCACCTTTTCTCAAGTCTAATCATGTTCCTGTGCTTGCCAGTCTGTCTGTGTGAAGGCACGCTCAACTCAACTGTACTTTTTGCTGCAGGTCGACGATGCCAAATGTTAGGACGGTGAGGACGGTGAGTGAACGAAGAAAGAACCTTTATGAAGGGAAAGGAAAAGAGCAGGGGAAACACACAGATCAGCCTTTCGAGCTGTTCGAGCACTGAGCGATCGTTTGTTTCCTTCCTTGCCTTTCTACTTTCCTTTCCACTTCTTCCATCCTTTCATCGTTCTTTGCCCCCTTCTCAGTTTCGGCGACAGTTAGCAGGCAGGCAACAGAAAAGTTTTTTCTGCGCCGGCCCGGCAGCAAATTCAGCAAAGGCAGTCGACCTAAAGTGCATAGCACTCGCTTAGCCCAAATACCCGAAAAAAGCGAACGTGAGTTCTGCTTATTCTGTGCACTGGCAGGAGCAGTGTCAGATCAGGCATCGTTTGCCTGCCGCTGCCGTTTCTGCCGTAGTGAGTGCAATGAACTGTCGGCCTTCTTGTTCAGCTTTCAATTCCTCCTCCTCATGCAAACTCTTCCTTCTGCAGTTCTGTAGTTCGGCAGCCGACGATTCTGCTGCCGCCAATCTAACACACACCACACACACTCACCGAATTGGAACAAGCTGAACCAAGTTTGACTCTACGTTCGACTGACTGACTATATACCCGAATAGAATTGAATGGAAAAAGAAGTCCGAGGTGGCGCCCGAAATGATGATATCGATCGGCGGGGGTGGTGGTGCTGGTGGTGGTGCTGGTGGTGGTGCTGGTGGTGGAGGCAGTTCAGGGAGAAGGTTCTAATGATCACCACTGCCGCCACTTTAGAAGATGGAAGAAAAAGATGATGATGATGACTATGACGATGAAGAGGAAGAGAACCAGCACTGAAATTGTGAGCCGCGCCAGAGTGCATCGACTGCTTTTGAACTAAGCTAAAAAAGGGGGAAAGAAAAAGAAGAAGAAGAAGGTGGTGCAAAGGTTTTGCTAGTGAGAGTTTTGGGAGCAGCAGCAGCAGTTTTTCCTCGAATGTGTGACCTACTGAAGAAGCGGCGGCGGCGGCGGCGAATGCGAATATTCCGCTATAGCTCGATTCTTTTCTAGCTCCGCCGTTATTTCGGGCACAAGCCGAGGCAATGGCCTCACTTGACCGATCGGCAACCAAAAGCGGTGGCTACAACTTTTGTCCTTTTCCACTCTCGCACTTGCCCTTCCAAGTTTCTGCTGGTGCTAGGCGCCCAGGTTGGCCGAGGTTGTTCGGGCGCTCCCGCCGCCGCTGTCGCTGCTGCTTTTCAGTAAGCGGCGTACGCTTCTTTCAGGACAACTTTTGAACACCACAGTTGGAGCCATTCTTTTTCACCGTCTGTTCTTCTTTACCAGAAAAAGATCGGCAGCTCTGACAGCACACATACAGTGTGAGCATCCAAGCGCACAAGTGCTGCTTGCAATTTTAGTGATCGCTGCCTAGCTAAGGAAGAACAAGAAGAGCTTCAGAGCAGTGGGAAATGAGTACAGTACTGTTTTCTGTAGCAGTACTTTCAGTTCTTCTGTTTCGGGTGATTCATTCGAGTTGAAGAGGAATTACCAGAAAAAGCAGATCTTTTTCCTTCTGCTTAGCTTAGCTCACCACCAACTGTGAAAAGAATGATTTAGTTGTGATGTAGAAGCACAGCCAACTTGAACTGGCCAAATTCTAGCCAAATTCATCTTTTAAACTTTTTCTATTTTTTACTGCACCAAAATACCCACACACTAAATCTGATTCTCAAACTCGGAAGTGCTCCACTGCTTCTTTGTTTGTTGTTCTTGGAACACACTCACAGTGCACTGAAACCCGAGTTTGTGTGGTGGCAATGTCATCATTGAGTTCGATGACGATGACAATGATGAAGTAGGCAGGCAGGCAGCAATTCCATTGCATTCAAATAGAATGGTAGCACATGCATTGCTCCATGCATAGGCTGCTCCATGGATACCCGTCAGCAAACGTAGCCACTTGGAAAACGAACTCGACAGACTCATCGAGAAGCACTGCAGTTCCAATGTTGCTATATAGTGTGTCCGAGGTCTATGACCCTTCCTGGATCGCTGGTACTTGCTCGTGCTCTTGTTTGCTCTGTGCTCTGGATACTTTGGGCTTGGAGCTGGTGGTGCTGAAAAAGTGTCACTCCAGCGCACCCAAAGTGTTTGCAGTTCGCTGTACTCGGCGGTTGTACAGGGCAGCAACCCGATTGGGTTGCTGCTGCTGCTCTTGCCACTGACGTTAACGGCCTTCCGTGGCACACTTTTCTTCCGTACACACTTTCCTCGTTTTTCTCCTTTTTGTACCTTTTAGTTCCTCACTACAAAAAGAGAGTAGCTTTTAGAGTAAAAAGGGGCTGATGATTCTGTTGGCTCCACCACTCTATTCTATTCTGACCGCATTGATCGGTGCTGGAGCCAATAAAGACGTCTCGATGCTCTTAATGTTTGTGCTTCCTCTTTTCTTCTTCATTGCAGGAGTCTATCGATTTGACACTGGCCATCAATAACCTGCAGCAGCCCACCACAACTTGAAAGCTGTAGCTCTAAGCTTTGGGTAAATAATGGTCATGAAGAAGGAGCTGCAAAGATAACAAAACAAGAAGAAGAAAAATAGCAGCACCAGTTCCCATTTTTTCAGTTCCTGGTTCTGTTTGTACAACAGCAGCAGCAGTTGCACCAAAATAAGCCAACCAGAAATCAAGTTCCTGTTTAAAAGTTCGGCTCTGCTTTTTTAAAGCTTTGTGAGCATTGCTGAAGTGGACAGCTTTGAGAAGCTCTGTGTCCCTAACAATAACAAATCCTAGTCCTCGGTCCACTTGTAAAGTGATCTCTCTGTGGACACAAAACACAGTTTAACTACCCACCACTGTCAAACCAAGTGGAACCAATAGCAAGGGAAAAATAAGTGAGCACTATTTCGCTGCTGTACTACAAACCAAATTGAGCAAAAGAAAAAACATTCAGTTCAGCGTTTAGCGTGTTAGTGAAAGCTGAGAAAACTGGTAAATTAATTCGGTCACGATTAGGACGTTGGTGGTGAGGAGGAAGAAGAAAGAGCAACACAACTGGAACGACACTTTTGTTTGCCATTAAATGTCATGATTTTCTTACGACTACAACTACTACTTCTGACTAATCCTAAGAATAGATACAGAAACTGCTAAAACTGGTGGCGAGAACCAATTTAGACTTTTTCTTTTCATCCAAAAGTGGGCGTCCAGCACACACACACACTTTCAGCTTATCCAGCACACCAGCCCACCAACCAGCCAACCAACTAACCAACCAACCTACTTTTTCCAGTGAACGATTGAACTAGCTAATCGTGTTAGCTGCTTCTTCTTCCAGTTGAACTTTGTTTACCTTAAGTGAAACCGAATGAGGGCCAAACAAATTGACAGCCACAAAGGCAGAAGCAGCAGCAGCTGTTGCTAATCTTATTTCAGCTAAAGATGAGCTGCTGAGCTGCTGCTGCCACAGAGGGAAAGAAGTTTCTGCAGTCATTCATTACCACATCAGAAGCAGCAGAAGAAAGAGAATGCGTGTCGAAAGTCGGCCACAAAAAGAAAAAGAAGAAAAAGAAGCACTACTCACAAACACACACACACACACATTCCACTGACCAAATTACCTACAAACTGAAAGAGAATAAGAGAGCAGCTCATATTTACGATGCTCATGGAAAGTGACAGGGCAAAAGAAGCATTGGAAAGACAATGCACTATTAACCGAAGAGTGCAAGTGTGCGTGTGTGAGTGTTCGTTTAAAAGGACGGTCATCAACTTTTACTATCGGTGTTCGACACCACCACCACCAGCAGCACTACCTGCGCTTGTGACTGGCCATGACTGCTGCAGAAGTTGCCTTTTTCTTCTTCTTCTTTTAAAGAGAAGGTCAACTGGTTTGTCGTCCTCGATTGCTTCTGCTGCTGCTGCTGGTGATGTGCTGTTCTGCTACCCTCAATGACTGCTGCTGCTATTGCACTACTGCCACCATCGACTAATTACGAAGCCAGCAAGACAATGGCCTCCAGAGGAGAGTGCTGCTG